AAAAGCCACGCGAACGCGCAAAAAAAAAAATCCCTGGCTCCTAACTTTTTTAGCTGTCTTGAGCATGATATCAGGTCAAAGTTGGGTACAATTGTTTTTGAAAATACATACAAAAATAAAAAAAACATAACTACATTGATTGGAGTTTTAGATCTGCCTTGAGTTCAACTTTAACTTTTCTGTAACAAAATAGGTTGAAAAAAACTACTTTCTAAATATACCTTGAATGGAAACATGCGCACCGACATACTTTCTGGAAATTGTGCAAAGCTGTAGACGTCTTTGTATTAGCTCTGGGACTTTTTCTTCAACTTTTTTGGTCTTTTCACTCTTAGATGTCTTTGCCTCATTTTTCTTTCTCTTAGATGTTGTAGCCCTGTTGGCTAACATAAAATACAAATTATTTTATTATACGAGATGTCCCTTTTCTGATCCACTTTTACAAAAACAACATACTGATAACGGGATTAAAAAAAAAAGACACTGGGCCAGGTTGCAGCTAAAGCTAACCATATACCTTACGATTATCATTCGATTTCCAAATGAAATTGGGTTTTCGTACCATAATGGTAAGTTGATGGGAAGTGAACGATTAGAATTACTTGTACAGTGGCCAAATTGAGTGCCTCGGGCAGACTAGAAAGCTTTTTTCGAATCGTATGAAAAATCAATGGATTAGTGGCGCTTTCGTACAAAAAAAAAATCACGGCTCGAACACTTCACATGCGCAAACGTCGATCGACAAAATTGCTAACAAACGATAATTGAAATTCACATTGGTCTTTATATGTGTTTAAAATAGTTGGCAAATGATTTTATATATACATATATGCGCATCTATTATTTCCAATTGATCTATTCACACCTTGCGATTAGATGCTTTTATCTGCAGTCAGATTAGCTGTGTTTAGAAAAAGTAATAATAGTCAGGTGCGCCCAGAAATTGATTTGAACCTCTACACACGTTTTTGTGCGTTTAAATACGTCAGTGCAAGTCACGTTTATTTGCTCTAACCTCATTGGTTACTTCAATGGACTGTTTCAATGGACAAAGGACAGATACATTGAAATGCATGTGCGTGTAAATGCACACCATTTTAAGCATCTAGAAGCATAAACAAAGCATTGAGCCTGCCAGATTTTGCCGATTTTTGCATAGGTGTGAATGAAGCCTTAGATTTGAAAGGGGTATGGAAGGTCTTGAAGGATTTCTCTCAACAGTTGGAAAAACAAGTGAAAAGTTGGCTGCATCATAGATCATGAAACCACTCTTGCAGATCTTAGCCAAAATCTTCCAGTGGGTACAACTGGGGGCCATGAAGGTATCACATGTACCAGGCTCGGAGAACCTACTTGCAGATAGATTAAACCATGAATTCCCAGACCATCAACTATCAATATCTGAAGCCTAAATTCAAAAAGTGAGGCACCCCGGTAGTACATCTTATGGCAGCTCTCTCCAACTCTCATGTTCCCAGTGTTCTTCTTCCCATACAAACCCTACCACAGGATGCATTCTCAGTTCAGTGGGACTTTTTTCTGGTGTATGTCTTCCCACCTATGGCTTTGATACTGAAAGTACTATTTAAAGAATCAAGCAAAAACAGAGAAAACGATAGCCAAATTGGCCAAAGAAGCTAATTGTTCCCAATGTTATCCTAGACATTGGTGGCTCCTTCACACCAAGTGTGGAGCAGATGCAGAGCAGTTTAAGAACGCATCAAAAATGCATACAATGTATTGGATGGTCTTTTGGGCTCTAGTTCACACCGCAGCGTTCAGTTCGAGTGCATGTAGAAAAACTGCAGCAGGCACTATTTTTCCTGCTCTGGAATGCACCAAAATGCATGCAAAAACATAAAAAATTTATGCAAACACTCTGGAACACACTGAACTATACCTGAAAACCCATTTTAGGCTAAAAAATAAAAAAAAGAACCGGAACGCATCAAAACACACTGCACTGCATATGCAGAAACACATCCAGATCTGGTCTGGATTTGGTGTGAACAAGCCCTTATACCCCTTACTCTGCAGGTAGGATCGTCTTCTGCAAAAATAATGACAGCACTTCAATCTGAGAAGGCTAAACTGAAGAGTACAGGTCACTGAAAGGAACAAAATTGTAGCGTGGGGTATCCCAGATATGGTGGTAAACACACTCCTTAAAACCTGGAAGCATTCAACACATGCAACATATTTTCAGATTTGGTTAAAATTCTATACCTTTGCAGAAGAGAAAGACTTAGCTCCTTTTTCTCCAGTCTTAACTGTATTAAACTTCTTACAGTCAGCTTTGGATAAAAAAGTACTGAACCCAGAGACAGCCAGGCTACTTGTATTGTTGAAACAAAGGCAAGCAATGGCAGCCTACATATTTTTGGCAAGAAAAGTTAAATAACATGTAGTTAAATATTTTAAACACAGATGTATACAGGCATTGCAGTACCATTTATTCTGACTGGCACCCCTAATGCACATCTACAGTAAAAAATAAACATACCTGCACTATAGTGCAACACAGTGCACATATGTTAATACCCTGAGCGTTAAGATGTGCTGTTGTCAAAACTTTTATGTACCTAAGCTTTTAGTCAAAAGCTTAGGTACATTTTTATGAGTTTAGGTGCATTGAAAGTCCATTCAAAATGAATGAGCTTCCTCAATACAAAAGGCTTTATGCTACATACCTCAAAGCATGAGTTAACTCGCACATAAATGTGAATGCGAATCTAGCCATTTAACAATTTTACCAATGTACTTTGCAATACAAAAGCAGCCAAGTAAAGCTAATCTTAGTTGACAGTTAACAGCACACCATGACTGGGTATATTGTGTTCACTATTGTGTCTTAGTGAAAGGCAGTATATTTCACCTAGGAATAAGGAATCAGTCCTCATTGATATGGTTTCATTCCAGTTATGTGTTACTTGGGGGCTGCTATTGTTACACCAAACCACACGACATTGATTTTGGTGCAGCACAGTTCTGTAAATCTCTAACAATATAAAAGTGAACCTGCCAGGTAAAATAAAGTCAACATCTACATGACAGGCATCTTGTGGTGTCATTAAAATTCACAATAAACATGAAACAGCAGGGCACATGTGAGCATTACGTCATTTAAGCAAAAAAGGAATTCTGCTGTTCCTCAGCTCCTTAATGCAATTTATAGCCTAAGCAGCATAGATCACAGAGTTCCTGGGGTCACATAGCCTCTGACCTGTGCAGCTGCAAGTATACCTAAAAATGATGCACTGATATGTTATATTGGTGCAATTAGAGAATGAGACACCTAATGTACTTGAATGATTAGTGTTTAAGAGGGTGCAATTGGGACCATTACATACTGTATATAACAAAAATCCCATTGAAATAGATATTAGGGATGTGCTTTGGCCTACCATGGAGGGATATTTGTGCGTCAAAAATAAGTTTATGCGACAGTGTGACTGGGCCAACATTTTTTGCAGAAACACCAAGGCCTCCCAATACGTGCTAGATGTTTAAAGGATAAAGTTTTGGATTACATTCTGAAGCTGCAATTGGGCTTTTGAAGAAAAAATTATTTGTTAAGGGGGCAGAAGGTAATGAATCTCCCCAACAGGAGCACAGGCAGCAACAGAACCCAGAGGTTCTAACATGCACAGATACCAATAAAAATATTGGTGGTGATACTGGGCATTTTCACGGGTACTCGTACTCATGAAAATGCCAAGATACTAAGAGCGGATACCGGGATCTTAAATTTTTTTATGGGTTCGGCTGCCTGGGGTCCCCTGCTTGCTGGGGACGTAGGCAGCCTTGAGTGGACCTCGTGGTGGCTGTCTTTTGCAGCGCCGATCCAGACGCACATTGCCCCCTTGTCCTCTGCCCGGTTGCCCGCAGTTGCATACACCCACAAGACCCTAAACAGCCTGGGGAAACGCCAGCAAGTACTTGAGGAAAAGTATCGGTACTTGTACTCTGCCTTGAAAAAATGGCATTGGTGCATCCCTAGTTAATACCCTTGAAATACTCTCCATAATAAAATAGGCCTTAGATCAAATGGTAACTGGGGTCTTATGCTTTGGTCTTGCTGGTACACTGGCATTCAACATCTCTCTTATTAGCTTCCATACTAATCAATATCAATGATAAAAAAGTTGCACATGTGCAGTAAGGCAGCTTCTGAAAGAGGGTGGGGTGAGAGGCAGGAGCTGGGCAGGGGGAGCAGGAAAGAGAATTTACCCTTTAATTATTTACATAATGTTATTGAAATTATATAAATGAGGCAATCTCTGCTTGGTGTCATGTAACACATAACCAGAAAGACAGGTACTAAGAACAGGTGCAAGAAACATGAAAGCTAGTTGAAGCAATGTGTAGCATATGAGCCACCAGCTGGAGACAATGCATAACATGTACCACATTTGGATCACAATTATCTGGTTTTGAAGAAACTATTCAATTAATAAAAGGCATACCTGTCTAATGGATCTGTGGTCAGGTCTGTACAATCTTATGTCGTTTCTTTTTATGCCAGATATTAGCTTTAAATTCTACATACCCTCATACCCTATAATAATTTTAGTACATTTTTTTTTTTTAATCTCCCACAGTTAATCTCCTACTGCTGCCTACTGTAACATGCACCTTGGAAATTTGGGTCCTATTTATAAAAACATGAGAAAACATGGACAAAAATGGAACTGCTATCCATGGAAACCAGATTCTGTTTCCCAGGTAATATAAGATTAAAACTGATTTGTCATTGCAACAAACCTTTTGTTCCCAAATACATTTCTTCAGTTTTTATAAATAGGTCTCTCACAGCTAAGGGTGGGGGGCAAAAGGTGTAGAGGAGCTGAAATCTGGAGGTGACTCCAGTTATGAGATTATCTTTTTGGTGAGTAAATGGTGTGGGATAGGCACAGTGGGAGGCATGACATATTGGTTTAGGAGACTAATAATTTTCTCCGACTCACATTTGTCTGCTTCCTCGTTTATAGATATGTCTTCAGTATTCTCAGTCACAGTTTCTCTTTTCTTTCTCCTCTGTGTCTTCTGAAGTTCTGATGTGAAACAACAATTATTTAGTAAGACAGTAAAAAGATTTAAAAGATCCTTACCCACTTCTACACAACTCACCACCAAAACATCTTTCGTCAAAACCATACACAACCTATCAGAAAATAAAAAACAGTTTCAGCCTGCAAAAGTGCCAGTCTTCACACAATGAGCATTCATGGTATGAGCATCAGTGATATCCAGTACCTATGCTGCAAATGGAGGTTACCTTTAGAAAGCATCCAAAATTATTTAAATGGAGGTTACCTTTAGAAATTCATCCAGAAATATGGGCAGCTAAGGTTTTCTACATAGAATATATAGATAAGCTTTTCCTGTAAAAGCAAAACTTAGCCCTGTCCCCTGCATAATGAGCCTCCTTATTGATCCTTTAAGTCAAAGGCATCAGTTTGAGACTTATTTAGAATTAATTGAGGGGTCATTTAGGCCGCTGGCTAAAACAATCCATTTTAGTGTGCAGGCTGGTGAGTGTCAGCGATGCCCTACATTCTACATTGTTATGGCACTGTCCACTTTAAAAAAATAAAAAAATTGAGTGACATTTCATCCATTTCTATGAAGAGCAGCACATCAGAGATGGATGGTGACTTCAGGGGATCTCCGGTGCATTGTGGAAAAATCAGCATGTCTATGGTTTTAAGCAACACAACTCAAGTCAGCAGAAGTGAACACGGCACATAGAAAACAACTGGATACGAAGGGCAACAGTAAAAGTGGAGACAAGAGACTACGTAATCATGTTTACAAAGCAATTACAATTCCATCTTGAACCTGGTATGCAATGGTGTCCCTATATGGCTGGCTATACTTTACTGATCCCACTTTCTTCTCATACAGTAATCAATGCTTCAGCATCTGGTTAGTGTGACCAGCACTAGAGGGAAGATAAGTTCATAACGGTTGCCACATTTTGTTTTTAAAGCTTCTTCATAGGTTTTGCTTCGACAATGTGTGTCCAATAAATATAAAAACACTATAATCTAATTTAGAAAATGCCAATATTTCACACATTCTCCTTACAGGCTGCTTCATTAGATCAGAAGGAGAATGTGGTTTTAAAAAGGAGTCTTGTCATGACAGAAATATAGAAGCTGCGGACATGCTTTCAGAAAATGCTAATTGTCTGTCACTGGAAAAAGTAAAGACAAAATTAAAAGTGATAATTCAGAAACCATTAATTGCTGTGTACATTACAAGGCAAGTCTTAAAGTGACACTAAGCTCAGGAGGTAAACCCTAAAAATGCATTCAAGTACCTTAAATATTAACAAAAGTGTAGCTTATTTGTGTATCCCTCGGCTGCAGATCCTCAGATCATCTCTGAATTGGTGTTGATACTGTCTTTCCTTCTGAAGGTTGGCTACTTTTGTTCCCCATGGTCCCTCTGTGTTGTAAAGTAGACACCGCTCAAAGCTCGCACTCGTGACTGACTACAATCCCATATTTAGTTTACCAATTTGTATTGAGATTGTAGCCCATCTCGGGAGCGAGCTTGGAGCGATGGCTACTTTACAACACAACAAAAGTAGCCGCCCTCCAGAAGGAAGGACAGTGTCAGCAGCAATTCAGAGATGATTTGAGGATCTACAGCTGAGTAATACACAAATAAAATACATTTAGTATTAATAGTTCAGTTACTTGAATGCATTTTTAAGATTTAACTCCTGAGTTTAGTGTCACTTTAAAACTACCTTCATTTTCCAAACTTTTGATAATTGTTTCTTCACACAAACGGATCAATACGTGCATGGTAAAAGAAAAATCAATAAAGCATCTAGAAAAGGCTTCAGGCTCACTTTCATCAGGTTCCTTTATAGACACTTCTTCAGCATTCTGATCTTGAGTTTTCTCTGCAGTTTCTCCTCTCTTTCGCCTTGGCTTCCCGGGAGGCTCTGATTTGGACACGACATCTACAACAGGTTTATCTGACAAAAACAGTAAAATTAAATCGGATAGAAATATGTTTGTATACAAAATGTATAAGAGAAGAGGCATCAAAGTCTTCAAACAACTCAGTGACCAATCTGTCTTTAATCTTTATAGTGCATCTGTCTGTACCTCTTTATCGCCTTAATCAAACTCCAGCTATCATGGAAGAAGCAGCATCTTGAAGTGCATCCGTAACATGACTATGGACATGTAGGCCCCATTCACACCTCTCCAGTCTAGTGCAGTGCATTACCAAACGTTAGGACATGTGTTGCATAAGGAAACTCATTCACCACACCAGACACCTGTCCTGTGCAGCACAATACAACGCATGCTGGTATGTTACTGAATGCTACACCACAGGTGTGTCAAAGGTGCAATCCTCCGGTGTGTTTTGGTGCCCTTTAAAAATAAATGCAATATGGCAGCGGTAATGTCATCCTCAACGATACAAAAGAGACTCTATAGGGTAGCCTACAACGCCTGCTGTTTGTTTTTATTAGACGGTAGACAGGGTGACATTCTTTGGCTACCACAAGAATCGGTGAGAGAGCTGTGATTTCATTGCCTTTTATGAAGAAGATTTTCTCTATAGTGACTACATAGCTATAGAGATAAATAAAGGCTTTTTTCCAAGTGCTTTAACTGTTTGTTTAGAATATGTAGATACTCTAATGTGAATAATCTTTACACAGGTTCACTTTAAAGTACAAATTACATTATTTTCATAAACTTGTTTACGAAATCCTGTATTGAGAGAAATATGATGGCTTTCATTGCTGACCTCTCCTGCTGAAATGCTAGTCACCACCTGACCTCAAAGTTTCAATCGTTTGAGTTACTGAGACAGAAAATGTATGGAAATGAACATTTCTGACATCAATAGTTGCATGCCTTTTCAGGGTCAGTGATTTAGAGGACTAAAGACAGAGATAGCCAAGCAACTAGCATTTTCAGGAGGTCGACAGCAATGGCACCCTACATATTTCTCCCCATACAGTTATTTAAAAATAATAACAAGGAAGAAATCCATAAAGTATAAAGTTTACAGGATTACCAGAAGCAAAACTTTACTTTGCACATTCATGGCAAAGTAATAGTTTATCTACATAACACACACACATCCCTGAATGTTCTCATCTTTTCTGCCCTTTTGATTACCTGCTTACTTGCCATGAGCACACCAAAAATCACTGTTAAGACCAGAGCTGGCTGTAGCTCACGGTACCCTAAGGACCTTTCTATTTGTGACAGCAATTGGTAACTTGCTGTCCAGGCACTCAGAGCATAGTGAAAGCTAGATAACAGAGTCACTTGCTCCCCTGTAATCCTGCACTGGTACAGGTTTACTCTAAAATAAATGTAGTATGAGGGTGGTAGAGTAGAGAATTAACAATTAAACTCCTTTTTCTGTTGGTATCTCATTTGCTGCACAGATAAGGGAATTTTTACATACATAGATATAAATATTGGATTCGTAGCTCTTTCACATAATGCATATATTGTAACTTTTTATTGTTATAAAGTAACATTGTCACTTTTTTTTGTAAAGCTTCTTCATATGTTTTATGTCAGTAATGTGTGTCCTATGGATTTGAATAAGAGAACTGTAATCTAGTAATACAGACTTCCACACTTTTCCCTTAGGTCTTGTTCACACCAAGTGCGGAGCAGATGCAGAGCAGTTACAGAATGCATCAAAAATGCATTCAATGTATTCCAATGGTATTTTGTCCTCTAGTTCACACCACAGCGTTCAGTTCCAGAGCATGTGGAAAAACAGCAGCATGCCCTATTTTTTCTGCTCTGGAACGCACAAAACGCATGCAAATGAATCAAAAACGCCCTGGAACGCATTGTGAGACCATTTTAGGCTTAAAAAACGCATGTAAATGGCCCAGAATGCGGCAAAAACGAGGCAAAATGTACTGCACTGCATATGCAGAAACTCATGCAGATCAGGTCCGGATTTGGTGTGAACAAGCTCTTATAGGCTATTACATTAGATTACAAGAGAAATTTGTTTTTTATAAAGAAATCCTGCCATGTCGGAAATATGGAGGCTATTACTGCAGATCTATCAAAAAATGCTATTGCCTGGTGAAAAAAGGAAAAAAAATCAAAAGTGATCATTCAGAATTAATCAACTACTACATACATCAGAATATCACTTTGAAAAATCCTGGCATTTTTACAAACCATCTAGCATGCTTTCCTCTTCGATTTTATCCCACAGAATTAAATGCAATTGAAGTAGAAATGAAAAATTATTAATTGCTATATTTAATGCAAATATTGAAAGGATTGTTTCTTCAAACAATCAGATCAATACATGTATGGCCAAAATTAGCTGCAGGCTCACTTTCATCAGGTTCCTTCATAGACACTTCTTCAGCATTCTGATCTTGAGTTTTCTCTGCAGTTTCTACTCTCTTATGCCTTGGCTTCTTGGGAGGCTTTGATTTAGGCACAACAACTACATCAGTTTTATCTGGCAACACAAAAACAGTAGATGTAAACATGAATGGAAATAATGGGATTTTTGACTTGCCATTAAAATGCAGTACCGGACACAAGCAAGCAGATTCAGAGACACCTGGGTGATAAGCAGGTATCACCAGATGATTGGACACTGGATAGAGCTGTGAAGACACTCATATAACCCCTCCACTGAGGGGTTATATGAGGAAATCTTCATTTTTTTTTAACAAGCAAGCAATAGAGTACATATAGAGGGTAGGGTCTTGTGCCCTGCACTGTACTCCAAAAACAGACTTACCTGCCAAGTCAAATATCACATTTTCTTGAATCTGTCAAGAAACAAGCAGATTCAGAAATGACTTGGATGTCCCCAAGCACTAGAAAAGAGGGGTGGGCAACACAGCAAAACAACTGCCAAGAGAAACACATAACAGAAAACAAAGGGAACCCCCACTTCAAACAGCAGCTTAAAGTACCTTACAGCCAAACCTAGCATCAGCAGATGTGTGATCGTGTGTAAAGCCACAGGTAGTGGCTTTACAAATCTGTCAAAACGCCCAAGAGACACTGTCAGACCTGGTAGAGTGTACCTTTCACAGAGTAGGCATGCACAATAAGCTTTTTAATCCACCTCGAGATGGTGGAACGTGATGCAGGGAGCCACCTGCAAAGTCCTTCAGGCAAGGCAAAGAGACAATCCATTGTCTGAATGAAGCTGTAGCCGAGAGATAAACTCGAACAACCTGAACCAGATCCAAAAAGTGGAGAGAAACCTCCTTAGGATGTTTGGGGCAGGACTAAAGGATGAGTATGTCCTCATTAAGATTAAAAGAACACACAAGTTTACACAGAAAGGAATCTCTTGGCCTGAGAATGACTTTATTTTTGTGAAGAATAAAGCCATGCTAGTAGGTTAATTGGCTCCTGTCTAAAAATGTAGCCCCAGTATGTGCATGTGAGATAGGGATCTTAGATTGTAAGCTCTTTGAGGGCAGGGTCTGATGGGAATGAATAGTATGCAAAAGTGTTGCATAAACTAACAGCGCTATATAAATAATAATAAAAAATAAGAACAAGAAGCAGTTCCTTGCACAATAGTGCTCCCATTTCCGAAATCCTCTTGCAAAAGGTAATAGTGACAAGAAAAACAACCTTGTACATAAGATCCATCACAGAGATTAGAGGTGCACCGAAATGGAAATGTAAAAACCGAAGCGAAACCGAAATAAAAAAAATTGTCAGGCCGAAAACCGATACTGAAATTTTTTTTTAATTTTTATAATCTTTCTTTAAATTATTTCAAAATGTTTTAATATTTTATTTTTATTTGTTTATAAAAGTTTAATTTTTTGATATTTATTGTTATTAATTCATTTTTTATTAAATATTTTTATTTTTTACATTACTTTTAGGGGCTTCGGGGAATTATTGAGGGTCCAAACAGACCCCTGATATTTCCCTTTTAAAATAGAAAAAGAGATTGAGAACACAGAGTCCTCAATCTCTTTTCTGTGTACCCTGCTATCAATGAACAGGAATGCTCTATGAGTGTTCCTGTTCATTGATAACATGAGGACATGGTATGTTTAGTATAACTACAACTATGAATGAACAGGAGGTGATGAACACTCCCATTCATTCATAATTGAGGATATAGTCAACATACCATGTCCTCAATTATGTACAAACACTCAGCGATCGCTGAGTGTTTGTTTGTACCGCTCTCCTCTCTGGCACGCTGTCACAGGAAGCTGATCGAGCGGTGTATGGGGGAGAGCCCAGCCTCCTGTGACAGCACGGCTTGTCTCCACCCCCACACCGCTCTACCCATCTGTGATAGGATGCTGAGCGGTGTCGGAGAAGAGACGCCGGCCGCTTTCTCTCCTCCTCGCTGGGACACAGAGCAGCGCCCAGCGGGGAGGAAAGAAAGCAGGGATGCGCCGATGTATCGGCAGGAAAATGGCACTTTCGGCATTAAGCCAAAAGTGACGCTTTTGGAAAATATGTTTCGGCGGCCGATAAATCGGTGCATCCCTAACAGAGATATATCTGATAGACTCAAATTAATCTTGCTGGATAGATGAAAGATATCCCACAGCATCACTGGAGGGCATCTAGGAGAAGCTATGTGAACAACTCCCCGGACAAAAGCCTTTATCAGGGAATGAAAAGCCAAAGGCTTCTGAAAGAGAATGGCCAAGGCCGACATCTGTTCCTTGAAAATGCCCAATTGCAGATTCAATCCTGATTAAGAAAAGGCTAAAATCATCCCACAAAGTTTTTCCAAGGATGAAACTTCCTTTGTTCGCACCAGGCAAAGTAATCCCTCCAACTACAAGGATACACCTTGCGAGAGGTGGACTTTCTGGCCTGCAAGAGTGTAGGGATTAAATAATCTGACAGACCCCTATTATTCACACCTGGGCTTCAACAGTGAAGTAGTCAAAGCCAGCAACTGAAAAGCAAAATGGAACACCCAGCCTTGAGACAGACGGTCTGGATGGTCCGTAAGAGGCTACGGGGAGTCCATTAACATCCAAAAGGATGTCCACCTACCATACTCTTCTGGATCAATCAGAAGCCACGAGGATCACTGGAACGTCCTCTGCCTCGATAACGCAGAGCAGACAAGGAAGAATCTTCAATGGAGGAAAGGCGTAGATAAGGAAGAACTAATCCTACAGAGCAACCAGGGCATGCATTCTGAACAATGTCAGACCTCTAGAATGGGACACAAACATGTCCAGTCAGTTGTTCAGCCTGGATGCCAGGAGGTCCATATCAGAAACCCCTCAACAGCAGCAGATCTACTGAAATACTTTGGGGTGAAGAGACCATTCCTCCCCTCCCCCCACATGCCTCTATGGAAGCGACTGTCAGTTACAGGTTAGGCACAACCAAATCAAAGGATGCCTTGAACAAGGCTTCCAGGTGCATATCTGCTGTGTCTTTTAAAGTCCTCCACTACAGAGTGCGTTGGAAAGGTTTTAATGGGATTCTTTTCTTAAGAGAACCCATATTAATGACCTGGGGATGATCCTGCATAGGTGAAGCAATGGCTAGACATTCTCTCATCTTGTTAATACCAAGTACCGAAATCGTGTCACGTAGCTCTTTGCGGTAGGGTCACAGCTGGGGGATACTCATTAGAAGGAAATGTCTGAGTATTAGGAGGTAAGCACCTCTACTTCCACACCCTTTTTATTTTCTAGCCAGGGCAGAAGCCATGGCCATGTCCAACATCCACTTTGAAGGGGAAGGAGAAGAGGGACTACACTTGTACCCTCTGTGGATTGATGCACTGAACACAGCAGAGATCGGTCCCATAAAAGCTGTCTTAGAGGTCGCAAAGTTTTTCTTACTAACGCAGGAAGAGTTGGATACTTCTGATGGGGCGAGAGATGCATTAGAAGAGGAGACCAAGCTAAACAGTGGGCTAACACACATACCATCTGTAGCACTCGCACATAAGTAGCAGTATTACTGGCAATCCCTGTTCCCCGAGTTTAAAATATGCTATGGAGAGAGGCCTCAATTAGGTACTCACAAAACAGCACCAAAATACTAAAAGAAGGTCCCCTCTCTGGTCTCCACTGTCCCTGGCAACACTGACAATTGTACTGCTGCAGATGGAGTAGAATGCTAACTGACTTGGTCTGCTCCCTCCACATGTGCTAAGATGCTCCAGAGCCTACTGCACGTGCTCAATCGAGCAGAGGTAGTACCAAGATGGCTGCTTTTCCAATGTACAAATGCAGAAAACAGCAATCTGGTGTATCAAGATGGCCGCTGGTCGCACACTGGACACGTGCCAGCGGCAGGCCCCCCATCAGTCCCTTAGCTTAGACTTTGGCTGAACATAGCTGCCCCCCCCCAAGGGTTCTTCAGGGACAAGGTCACACCATTGTGGAAATGCCACTGCCCTAGACTATGTGCCAAGGTGGGCACCTAATGCAGGATCCAGTGTCCAAAGCTATGTTACAGGTAGGCCCCACATCTTCAGTCCTGTAGGGTCCAGGTATGGTTCCCAAACCTATTGCCGTGGGGCCCTGATCTGGAAACTATGAGATTAAAACCATGGCCAGATGCAGCCAAGGAAGAAACTTGACTGATTAATCATGAGTAAAAATATAGGGGTCTCTTTTATTTGTATTTCTGTTTGTATACCACTTTAAGAGCCAATATATACTTGCAAATTCTTGCTGTTGCCATGGAAACAGAAGTTCAGAGCCTGTGACATAGTATTTAGCACCTGATGACAGTTGACCACTCTTCCTGTCTGAATCAAGAAATAGAGTCCTGCGGTCAAATCCAGCAAGGACCAGAATTTGGAAGGGCAGTCTTCTGGAACTTCCTCATTTCGTCAGTCACATGATGTTAGCACCCATTTAACTGCTTGCTCGCTGTTGAGAAGATATGAACCTGATTGGACTGAAACCTATACGATCACACCCAAACACGCCTATATCTTATGCATATTCATGACTATAAATTGTGTAGCTTAATGTATTTTTAGCAGAAGATTATGAGCTGTCGTGATGTTTTCCCACTGCAGTGTATGAATAAAGCACCTATTCTTTTACCAATTTGGACTCACAATCTCATCTGAAAGGTCTTGTTTGGAGACTCCCGAATCTAACTTATCAAATCACAGGAAAAAAGGTAACAAAACCACGCGTGTCTCCCTCAGTAGAGAGAAGATATCCACCACCTAAAGACACTAGGAAAAAACTGAGGATTTCCTTCAGTGGGAGGGATTACAAGAGGGTGCTCACAGTTCTAAACAGCAGTATCCAATCACCTGATGTTACCTGCATATTACCTAGTCAGCTCAGAATCTGCCTGTGTCCTGTATTGTACGATCAAGAAATGTATGCATACCAAAATATGTTGAACAAGAGGCATCAAAATCTTTATCATTTTTTAAATTTAGAGTGAACATAAACATAAGATATCTGCAACTGCTACTATTCTAAAATGTGTATAAGGCAGCTAAATTGTATTCTTAGCTCTCTTGCCTAATACCCTATCTAAGCTGAACAGAGGCACAGCATATGTATGACGGTGGGATTGTGCAGCCTCCCCCTCCACCGCCGCCTATCCCAGGCTTTGCTTGCCCCTGGGCAGGCCGGGGACCAGTAAAGTGGGTCTGTGTACTGTACATTGAAAGTGGAAGTGATGTGCATTACATCACTTCCCGTTTTATTATGTCAGTTCTCCGGCAGTCAACTGCAGTTTAAATGCACGGGTTTTGCATTTCATATACAAATATGTGTATATGAATGTTTTAAACAAGTCAAATGCAGGTCAGAAGGAAGTCAACTACAGTTTAAATGCACCTGTAAATGAATTTTTTTTATTATTTATGAAGTGTCTAAAACGGATATCATAATGATTCTGTCAAGACAGGTCCTAAGGAAGTTTGTATAAGGGCCGGTTCACACCATCTCCAGTGTGTTCCAGCACGATTAGCTGCTGGAACGCACTGAATCACATCCTGGCCAGCTCCATGCTTATGCATCTGCTTCTGGGAGACATGCCTGTTACAGGTAGGCCCCACATCTTCAGTCCTGTAGGGTCCAGGTATGCCTCATGAGATTTGTAGTTGCAGCTGGAGGGCCAGAGTTTGCATACCCCTGCTACCCTGGCTTAGACCAACACCTGCCTATGGTGTTACAAACATGGGAAATGACAAAGAGCAGTTCCAGTGTATGGAGCCAAATCGTGAGATGCCAGCAGAAATGTATCTATCACTAAATCAAGGGGGTAGCAAGTTCTAACAGTTTTAATAGCTATAATTAAATAAGAACTACTTTTTTTTTACAATATACATAGCTAATCCTCTTACCACTGTCTTCTCGTCTGCGCTTTATTTCATCAGGTCCTAAGTTTTTTTTCATTTGCTTTTTAGCAGATACGACACCATCTTGTTTATCCATCTTCTCTCTACAATCTGAAATTAGAACGGTGCCGTTCACTTCAATGGACCGCCACACCCCCTCCTGCCCCACAACATAGTGAGCCGGCCGCAATGCGATGCAGTGCGTTCTGGCCAGAATTGGGCCGGAGCGCACTGCATCTGGTGTGACTGAGACATGAGGGCAGAGACTGATGTGAATGTGCAACTATGTGAAGTGTTGCATAAACTGTCGGTGCCATATGAATAGCAATAATAAATAAATATACAAGTCTCCTCTCCAGGAAATGTTAGCATATATAAAACAAAGGACAAGCCATAGTGCTCGCCACTTAAATGGTTAAAAACGCTTTATTAAAAAATATTTACTCATAAAACTGTGCGCGAATCGTGTACCTGATGATTTCCAGCAAGTACAAGTAGTGGCTATCCTATATGACACCAAGAGACGCCAGTGTTGTGGGGATCTTGCTTATTTATTTAATCTGTATACGATTGAATAATTAAAGTAAATATTCACACATTTTATTGTACATTTTAAAAGTAAAAAAATAACAAATATTAAAAAAAGTAAATAAATAAAAATGTAAAGAGATAAAGTAAAAAAATATATAAAAATGTAAAAAAAAGTAATAATTAAAAAAGTAAATAACAAAAATGTATAAAATAAAAAATAAAGTAAAAGATAATAAGATAAATACAAATTTTAAAAAGTAAAAAAAATAAAGTAAATGAAAATTTAAAAAATGAAAACCAACTGCCCCCGCCATCTGTATGCTAATAAACGCAGGCGTGTGTACAGCACTCTCTAACACAAACAATGTGCATTAAAGGGTAAGTTCAAGTAGTTTGGAAAAATTGATTTACCCACTCAAATCTGGCCCAGTTTCCCCCCTCCCTGCTAAACTTATCTTTCAGTGAACAATGAATGGAAAGGGTGTACTATCTGCAGCCCATACTGCCGTCCAGGACTGCAGCAACCACCTACGGGCCACCATCAAATGACCAGCAAGATAGTACTTCCTGAAATCCGCCAACCCTCCTTGAGTCCAGTTTGTATGAACATTCTTAACTTCTTAAGTCATTCAGCCTCAAATGTTTGCCTTTGCCGAAATTTTAAAAAAAACTTCCTGCTCTCAATTTTTTTTTCCAAGGGCAAAATTCAACTTTAATGTAAATCTGTATTCAATCTTAACCTTCTAAAAGCAAAAGCACTCCCTTAGGACCCATTCACACCATGTCTGGACCAGATCCTTTTTTGCCTGGTCCACAAACGCATCCCCTTTCATTCCTATAGTAAAAAATGAGGCTAGTTCGCACCACTGCATTCAGTTCCAGAAGGTTTAAAAAAAAAAAGTACTGCATGTATTATTTTTCTGGTTTGGAACACACCAAAACGCATGTAAATGCACCAGAATGCGTAAAAACGTATAAAAATGTACAGCCCCGCATTTCCAGAAGCATGGTAAGAACAAGCCTTAAGAGCAGGCACCTGCAACAAATTATCTCCTTTGTCCCTCTTGGATTTGGGTTAATTTTTCTCATGAAATCTGCCTTTTTCTGACTACATGGTTAAAGAAGAACTCCAGGAAAACTTTTTCTTAACCCTTGCAATGAGGCTACCCCTGTACTGCAAGGGTTAAGTGCTTGTTTGTGTCTAGGGACAAAAATAAAGATATACTTACCCAAACCTCAGAGCCAGCCGGCTGTCACAGTGTTCCCTCCTTCCTGTCTCCTCCTCCGCTGCATCCTCATACACAGTGTATAGACATGGTGATATGGGACCTAAGACCGCTGCAGACGAGGGTGGGAGACGCTGGGAGGCCCCGTCTAAGCTCAGAGCTTTGAGGTGAGTATAACTTTTTTTAACCTAGACACAACCGAACACTTATCCCTTGCAGTGCGGGGCTAGCCCCACTGCAAGGGTAATAAAACATTTTCCTGCAGTTCTTCTTTAAGCCCTGCTAGCTGCTATCTCACTGAATGGTGAGACTAGTTTAGTGGCCCATGAAGTCAGAGAAAGTCAGGTCCCAGTGACAAGGGGAAGCTTAATCATTTGTTGTGAACATTTATACATACTGAGTACCGATACCGGTGCTTCTGCTGGCATGGAGCCGGCTTCCCGGGCAATCAGGAAGCCGGGCAGCAGGTAATGACATCCCGCCCAGGTTTCTGATTGCCAGGGAAGCCAGCTCCATGTTGTTTGGCCGGCTTGATTGTGATTGGCCGGGAAGCTGGAGCTGGCTTCCCGGCCAATCAGGAAACCGGGAGGTCGGGTCATTACTTACACGGTAAGCTGGCTCCATGTTCCGCTACTGCACTGCCAGTCGGAGGAAATCTTCCTCTGACTGGAAGTTTCGGTATCGGAGCATTTGGGCGAGTCCCCATCCCTAATCAAAACCGTATTTGACTGTGCTAAATAGACCTTCTCATTGGTCAGCGTGGTGACCTGACCAATGAGAAGACGGGGCCAGATTTGATCAGGTAATTCCATTTTCCCATATGACCTGGGTAAGTGAGCTTACCCTTTAATGCACATTGTGTTTGTGCAGGAGAGTTCTCCTGCCTGGCTACTACAATATGGCAACAGTGGAATGGCAGCAGCACTCAATGCGCTTTGCGTGCGTTTATTTGCATGCAGATGGCATTGGCAGGGGGGTTGGTTTTCATTTTTTTTAACTTTATCACTTTAATTTTTATATATTTTATTTTCTACTTTTTATTTATTATTTTACTTTTTTTCCCCACTTAATCTTAAAAGCCCCTATGTCAGGGGTAGCAAACCTCCGGCCCTCCAGCTGTGGTGGAACTACAAATCCTATGAGGCATTGCAAGATTCTCACAGCCACGACTCCCGAAGAGAGATGCATCATGGGATTTATAGTTTCACCATAGCTGGAGGACCGGAGGTTTGCTACCCCTGCCCTATGTGATAGTTTGGAGGTGACAGATTCTCTTTTTGGAACCTGCCCTCCAACAGAGAACAGATCTTCTGTGCAGTTCCTGACAGCTGAGAATGGTGGCGCTGCGATTACAGCGCTCTGGTCTCAGTGATCACACAGAGCAGACGAAGAACAAATGTTCTTCGCTCTGCTCTACACTCTCTATCCCAGAGGAGCGGGGGACCACAAAAACCACGGCGGGGGGCGCGGGGCTGGACAACATCACTGCTAGTTTGATAGAAGTGATCTGATCAGATAACTTGTATAAAACGTGCAGCGGCTCCCCACTGTACATTTAGCTCTGCTTGCCTGAAGCAGGGCTAAATGTACAAAAAAAACTACTTGCCCGGCGCCCGAAACGGCATGCCCCCAGCGTCAGGCGATAGGAATTCCACACCCCTGTACTGTTAGACATACTGAGGCTTCCAATGCAGACCATTTTTGTCTCAGCTTCTGCTAATATGAAGAAAAAACATGTCTTGGCTGTACGTAAACTTTAACTGCGTTGCCAAAACAAAACCAGATTGTTCATACAGCTAATAGCTCAGGTTCAGATTATTATTATTAATATTATTATCATTATACAGGATTTATATAGCGCCAACAGTTTGTGCAGCACGTTACAATATAGGGAAGACATTACAATACAATTCAAGACAAGATGGTAACAGTTGACTTGCTCTTTAAAAAAACTCCACTCACTTGGCCTACAAGACTCTGCTCTCTCATGGTTCTCCTCCTACCTATCTAAGCGCTCCTTTAGTGTCACCTACAACTCTACCTTTTCCTCTTCTCTTCGCGTTTCTGTTGTGGACTCCTAAGGTTCTGTCCTTGAACTCCTTCTCTTCTCTAATTACACCTCCTCCCTTGGTCAGTTGATTACCTCACATGGCTTCCAATACCATCTCTATGCTGATGACACTCAAATATATCGCTCCACTCCACAACTCACCCCCTCAGTGTCCTTGCGTATCACTAACTTACTAACTGACATATCAGTCTGGATGTCACAACACTTCTTAAAGCTCGATCTTTCAAAAACTGAGTTCATGATATTTCCTCCTGCCCGTGCACCTTCCCCCAACTTTTCTCTTGAGATTGTTAACACAACTATCCAACCCTCCCCCCAAGCCAAGGTGCTAGGTGTCATCCTTGTCTCAGACCTCACCTTTCTGCCCCACATCCAATGACTATCTAAATCCTGCCACCTTCACAACACCTCCAAAATACACCCCTTTCTCACCAATGAAACCACAAAGCTACTCATCCACTTACTTGTTATCTCTCATCTTGACCATTGCAACTCCCTCTTCATTGGCCTACCTCTACTCAGGCTATCCCCTCTTCGGTCTATCATGAATGCTGCTGCTAGGCTCATCAACCTAACCAACTGCTCAGTATCTGCATCCCCCCTCTGTCAATCCCTGCACTGGCTTCCAATCGCCCAAAGGATAAAATGTAAAATAGTAGCAACCACTTACAAAGCCATCCACAACTCTGCCCCCGGCTATATCTCAAACCATCACCCTAACCATCCTCTCTGCTCATCCCAAGACCTCCTGCTCTCTAGCTCCCTCGTCAACTCCTCCCATGCTCGCTTCAGGACTTCTCTAGAGTCTCTCCCATTCTTTGGAGTTCCTTACACCAACCTGTCCGTCTATCTCCCACTCTGACTGCCTTTAGGCGATCCCTTAAGACTCATCTCTTCAGTAAAGCCTATCCCACCTCTAACTAACCACTGAACTATCTCTTTCTCAAACAACTCATTCCAACACACCTACCTCCTCATGTATTACTTGCCCCTCCCTCTTAGAGGGACATGGCATGTGTGTTTTTTAATGAGTGTGTGATGTGTGTGTTTAATTACGTGTGCGGTTTTTTTGGTTATACCAAGGACACGGCTGGTGCTGCATCCGTGTTCTTGATACCGTTTTAAACAGTAGACGATTGCCGTTTAAATACAAGCGATCCGGCGTCTGTACAGGCGCTGGATCGCTTGTACGTTGCGGCGCCGTG